GAAATACATCTGTCCACACCACCCACCAAGAAGTACATCTGTCCACTACCACCATCAAGAAGAAAATCTGTCACACCACCACCACCAAGAAATACATCTGTCCGCCACCGCAAGAAATACATCTGTCCACACTACCACCACCAGAAGTACATCTGTCCACACCACCAGCACCAAGAAATATATCTGTCCACACCTACCACCAAGAAATACATCTGTCCACACTACCACCATCAAGAAGTACATCTGTCCACATCACCACCACCATGGAAGTACATCTGTCCACACTACCACCATCAAGAGTATATCTGTTCACACCACCACCACCAAGAAGTGCATCTGTTCACACTACCACCGCAAGAAGTACATCATCACACCACCACCACCAGAAGTACATCTGTCCACATCACCTACACCACCAAAAGAGTACACATCTGTCCCACCACCACCACCAAGAAATTACATCTGTCACATCACCACCGCAAGTATATCTGTCCACACCACCACCACCAAGAGTACATCTGTCCACCACCACTTTCATGAGTACATCTATCCACACCACCATCAAGAGTATATCTGTCCACCTGACCCTGAAATACATCTGTCCACACTACCACCACCACCAAGTATATCTGTCACACACCACCACCACCAAAATTACATTTGTCCCACATCACCACCACCACCAAAAGTACATTTGTCCACCACCACCACCATAAGAGTGCATCTGTTCACACCACCACCACCAAAAGTACATCTGTCCACATCACCACCACCAAGATGTGCATCTGTCCACACACCACTCACCACCAAGAAGTACATCTGTCACATCACCACCACCAAGAAGTACATCTGTCACACCACCCTGCAAATTACATCTGTCCACACCACCACCACCAAGTACATCTGTCCCACACCACCACCATGGAAGTACATCTATCTACCACCAGAAGTACATCTGTCACACCTACCACCACCACCAAGAAGTACATCTGTCACCACCACCAAGTGTACATCTGTCACACCACCGCAAGAAGTACATCTGTCCACACCACCACCACCAAGGAAATTACACATTTGTCCACCACCACCAAAAGTACATCTGTCACACCACCACCAGAAGTACATCTATCCACACCACCACCAAAAGTACACATCTATCACACCACCACCACCAGAAGTATATCTGTCACATCACCACCACCAAGAGTACATCTGTCACACCACCACCAAGTACATCTGTCCACACCACCTACCAAAGTACATCTGTCACATCACCACCACCAAGTACATGTTCACACCACCACCACCAAGTTCATCTGTCCACATCACCTGCAAAGAGTACATCTGTCAACACCACCACCACCAGAAGTACATCTATCAACACCACCACCACCAAGAAGTACATCTGTCACATCACCCTGCAAGTACATCTGTCCACACCACCACCAAGTACATCTGTCACACCACCACCACCAAGGAAATACATCTGTCACATCACCACCACCAAAGTACATCTGTTCACACCACCACCACCAAGAGTTCATCTGTCCATCCACCACCACCAAAATTACATCTGTCAACACCACCACCACCAAGTACATCTGTCCACACCTACCACCACCAGAAGTGCACATCTGTCCACACCACCACCACCAAAATACATCTGTCACATCACCACCACCCAAGGAAGTACATCTGTCCACACAACCACTACCAGAAGTACATCTGTCCACACCACCAAAAAGTACATCTGTCTACCACCACTACCAAAATTACATCTGTCCACTACCATTACCAAATGCATCTGTCACACAACCACTACCAAGGAAGTACATCTGTCCATCACCACCAAATGCATCTGTCCACACCACCACCACCAAGAAGTACATCTGTCCACACCACCACCATAAAGTACATCCTCCACACCACCACACCAAGAAGTACATCTGTCACACCACCTGCAAAGTACATCTGTCCACCACCACCATAAAGTACATCTGTCCACACCACCACCAAGTACGTCTATCCACACCACCACCACCAAGAAGTACATCTGTCACACCACCACCAAAGTACATCTGTCTACCACAAGAAGTACATCTATCCACCACCACAAGTACATCTATCACACCACCACCACCAAGAAGTACATCTGTCCACACCACCACCAGAGGTATCTGTCCACACCACCACCAAGAGTACATCTGTCCACATCACCACCACCAGAAGTACATCTGTTCACACCACCACCACAAGAAGTTCATCTCCACATCACCACCACCAAATACATCTGTCAGCACCACAACCACCAAGAAGTACATCTGACCACACCACCACCACTAAGAAGTACATCTGACCACACCACCATCACAACCACCAAGAAGTACATCTGACCACACAACCACCACCACCAAGAAGTACATATGTCCACATAACCACCATCAAGAAGTACATCTGTCCACACCACCACCACCTAGAAGTACATCAGTCCACACCACCATCACCAAGAAGTACATCTGTCTGCACCACCACCACCTAGAAGTACATCAGTCCACATCACCACCACCAAGAAGTACATCTGTCCACATCACCACCAAGAAGTACATCTGTCCACACCACCACCACTACCAAGAAGTACGTCTGTCCACACCACTACCACCAAGAAGTACATCTGTCCACACAACCACTACCAAGAAGTACATCTGTCCACACAACCACTACCAAGAAGTACATCTGTCCACACCACCACCAAGAAGTACATCTGTCCACACCACCACCACTACCAAGAAGTACATCTGTCCACACTACCATTACCAAGAAGTACATCTGTCCACACAACCACTACCAAGAATTACATCTGTCCACATCACCACCAAGAAGTACTTCTGTCCACACCACCACCACTACCAAGAAGTACATCTGTCCACACTACCATTACCAAGAAGTACATCTGACCACACCACCACCAAGAGGTACATTTGACCATACCACTACCAACGTATATATTTGACCACACCACCACCAAGGGGTACATCTGACCACACCATCACCAACATGTACATTTGACCATACCACCACCCCCAACAGTTATATGTACTTGATTGTAGTTTTGAATATACACATTATGATAGTTGTCATAAATGAGAAAAGTTTGAAATACCAAGCGTAAGGAGGAGGTGGAGCTTGACACGGGTGTGGCATGCCAAGGTAACCTAGCACCCCGTCCAGTCCTGCCACAGTAACCATGGTGTAGGTGCAGTCTGGCAGATGGTTACGTTCCTGCAGAGTTGTGTCACACACCTCCCAGCTGGCTGAGCTCTTTTTGTTTTTGTTTTGTTTGACGAGGTGGAGTGTGTCCTGGTCTTACTTGAGAGATCTGTATCTACACCCTAATAACAGGGTAGTGTTTTCCGCTCGTGGCCAGTGTTTGTACTGTTGATGTTAACCTCCACTGGAAATGCACATCATAGAACTTGGGTTAAGAAGCTGAATGTTTATAAAACAAAACAAAAATGTATGATCGAGAAATTCAGTATATTTCTAGAATATACAATATTGGGTTATCATTAAACAATCATAATTACAATAATTTATGACAGTTCAAAATAATTTTATTATAAACTTCTGATCCAGGTAAGAATTATGATGTCTGTAAACAACAAAAAAGGGTTCAAAAGGGGTCAAATCTCAAGGATTAAGAAGCGACAAGTCCAGAAAACTGTGCGGACAAACTATTTCGGAGTGGGAATTGTGAACTCTTGGAACAATCTGCCAGAGTGTTGTGACGGCACCGAGTGTAAGCTCTTCCAAGACCAGACTTGTCCAACTCTGGGGCAGGTACAGATACAGTCATGAATCAGTGCATACCCAGTACTTGCCAACAGTGTGTAACACAGACGTGACCGATCGCCCAAGCTTAATTGATTAGTGGCGAAGAGGATAAAAGAAAATTTGGAAAAATTTATTGTCTTTGGGCCTACCGTACTCTACAGTACTGTATTGTACTTCTAAGATCCATCTTCGCCACTGATTGGCTCGTTAGCCGCTTGGGCGGTCGGTCACGTTTCTGTTACGCACTGCTGGCAAATACTGGGCATCATTCGGTGTCCTTCAGAATTAGGCTATTTAGTACTGTACTATAAAAGATGATAGGCTAAATAATTTATGATTTTGTTACAGCTGCCACATGAAAATTAATTACCATTATATATATATATATATATATATATATATATATATATATATATATATATATATATATATATATATATATATATATATATATATATATATATATATATATATAGAGTTATGCGTAACTGACAATGTGTTTAGAGTAAATGGGAAGTTCTACAAGCAAATATTTGGCATGAGCATGGGTAATTGTCTTTCTGCTCCTTTAGCCTGTATTTATATGGAGTTTTTTGAGTCTAGATTACTACCCAATATAGTGGACTTTATTCCTCCATGGTATAGATATGTAGATGATGTTCTTTGTCTTTGGCCTAGAAACAGTGACCCATTGGAATTTTTAGACAAGCTTAATGATATTGTCCCAAGTATCACATTCAAAATTGAAAGAGAAATAAATGGATCCCTTCCATTCCTTGATATGCTTATCATGAGAAATGGCCAAAACTATAAACTTAAGGTATATAGAAAGCCCACACAGGTAGACAGTTTCATTCACTTTTTATCGAATCACCTTGAGTCTACCAAAATGTCAGTTTTTTCTGCTATGTTCTTAAGATGTCTGCGTATTTGTGACTCTGAATTTATTGACGATGAATTGAAACACATTCGTTCCATTGCACAGAAACTCGGGTACCCTTCTGTGGTTGTTGATCGTTGTTTTAAAGGGGCTAAAAAATCCTTTCATTCCTCGCAAACCAGAC